CATTTTCAAAATAGACATTTATACACCATTCGATAGAGAATTTGAACAGCTACATTTTACACTATTTATATTTGAGAAAAGAGTTACTTCGATTTTTTGCCTAATGTCCGCCTGGATGCCCACTGTGATAAGAGTGTATGTATTGCCACAGCGAACGGTCAAACTATCGTTTTTACTTCGGTTTGCAGTTCTATATAAAGCATCTAGTCAGAAATCATCACATTTCCCTCACTTCAAAAATATTATAAAATGAAAGCCCCTTGTTAGTGAAGCAGGATCAAAAACTGAGTCAACTAATGTGTATTTCTACCTTACCTGGCTACTTTAAGTTTTTTCGAATTTTCACGTTGAAAAATTACCGCGATTTTTACCCAAAACTGAAAATCAACTAAAACTTTCAAAATACACATTAGTCGACTTAGTTTTTGATCCTGATCCTGAATATGATATTCTTATTGCTGAAAAGTTGAGTTGTGATCGAGAAAATTGAGACCTACGGGCAGAATTCCGACTTTTCGCCTCTGATTTAGAAAAAATGAATTTTCTCAGCAATGACACAAAATTTTAAAAACGTTTCACATACTTTTTTTCCTAGAAGTACACTGATTAGAAGGAAATAACAATTAATGTTTATTAATGTCTTCCGACAGAGAAAACTAGATACGTTTGCAAATTTGACGGTAGGGTAGCTACGATTCTGCTCCTGTTCCGTGAAATTGGCTGTCAGTTTCAACTTTAAAATTTAGAACTTCAGCTTATTATACTCAGTTTTCGATGGAGAATCTGAAATAAATAGTTTCTCAATTTTAGAAAAACAATAAATATGAAAAATTTGCCTGTTTTCAAAAAATGGGTATTTTTAAATTTTTTCACCAAAACTGACTTCTTAAAATGTGCAATTGTGTTTTTCCGATGCAACTCAATGAACTCTATCCAACCATGCCGAAAAAAAGCGAAAGAGAATTTCCTGCTGTAATTTTGAATTACCGGCACCTTATTTCCTAATGTCATTTCAACTTTGTTTCTTTGCAAAAATATATTTATTAATCGAAGATAATATATTTTTTAATACAACTCGACAGTGGAAAATAAGTAATTCGACAAATATGAATTTTTCTATCGTATCCAGTACCTTTCAAATTAATAAGATATAAACATCAAAACCCTTTTTTTTGAGTTGAAATGAGATTAGATATGGTGATTTAAACATTGTGTATTGAACAGTATTATGATCATTTCTGTATGAGAGCACTGTATGATCAAACATTTCATATATTTTTTATCATCAGAAGAGAAAAAATCTCAACATACCAACATTAAAGTAGTTATTCACTAACAAGGTACTTTCATTTTATAATATTTTTAGAGTGAGGAAAATCTGATGATTTCTGACCAATTTCTTTGATTAATTCATCTATTTAATTTGAACGAATCTAACATAGTTAAATAAACAAGTAACAGATTAGAAATCGTCTGTTCGGGAGTATGATAGTCGCTAGAGTGGGTCAAAAAAGCAATGCAGATAGAACACTTTTTGGAAAAAACGTATCTCTCCATTTCTGGAGATCAAAAGAAATCAAGACATCTCCATTGCTGGAGATGTCTTGATTAGATACCAGGATAGTTCTGTGTCTAACAACAGTCTCGATGCATTTTCGTTGTCTTGAATGTGACTACGTGACTTATCTGCGACTGATCGGCGACTAACAGTAAAAAGATGAGAAAATACATCTAATGTGCCTTCAAAACGCACTGTGAATGCATTTTGAAGCCAGTCGAGTGGTTTATCAAGACACTTATTTTTGACAATGTATTTCAATATGAGATGAAAATAGTCAAAATGAAAGATTTTTTCCTTATTGATTTCTGTACTTATCTCCGACAATGAATATTAGTAAAGGATACAATAAAGTAGAGTTTCATTCATTCTTAGAGTTTCGACATATGACCTCATAATAGTCCCGAGACATGTAATTAATCTGATGACACGTCCAAGCGACAAAAAATAAAGATGTCTAAAGACTCTTATTTAGCAGGGAACGTTTTTACCTATCAATCCGTGTTAGAAAAACGACTATGTTTTTATCTGAACTTTTGAAGAATGATTCTTTCGCGAGCTCTTAAAAATTCACTTTTGAAAGATTTTTTGTAAAATTTTTCTCTTCTAACGAAAAGATGTGATCAAATCTCTTCTTTCGAATGGGGGTAATATTCAAATCTCTAGTTACTATCTTTCAAAAGTTATTCAAAAAATATTCACAGCCAATCTTTTTCTTCAATGGATAATACTCTTGAGCTGCAGTGTCTTCACTCTATGAAAATAATTCATTTATATACTTTTTCAGCGGAAATGGAACATTTTCACGAGTAAGTCGTTTTATTTTTCTAATTCAAATATATAGGGAAGATTATATGGTTTTTAGAATAGAAATTGTACTACAAATCTGGATGTCCTATGTGACCCGACGTTTTGTTCAGATGCAACTAATGACACAGTACAAGTATTCTCATGTGTTAGAGATCCATGTTCAACATGTGTGTGGTCAGATTGGCAAAGTGGATCGTGTTCAACTTCGTGCGGAAACGGTTTTATACCACGAACACGAACATGTACAACATCCACAGGTCAACAATGTGGAACATGTCCAGGCGTTGACTCAGATTTAACAATTTCTTGCAGTAATCCAGTGTGTCCAGGCATGTTTCATATCTCAGAAAAACATTGCTCTAATTTAAGAAGTTTTGATTCTTTTAGATCAATGTCCAGTGTACAGTAGTTTAGTTGCGAATTATATTGATTGTGGCATAACATGTGCAAATCGTACTGGGACATCATCATGTGAAGACCCGCAAACTCTTTGCGTTTGTAATCCTGGTTATTTTCGTACAGCAATAGATGGTCCATGTGTGAAAGAATGTGATTGTGGGTGCACTGATAGCTTAGGATATCATCCGGTAAAAGTTTGACTTATGTCTCGTAAAATATTTTATCTACAATTTATCCTCATCCAGCTCGATTCTCTATGGAATGGTCCATGCAATACATATACATGTCTCGAGGGAGGATATATTGAGTCAGTTGCAGTTACTTGTAATACGAGTACGTATGCTTTACTGTTCTAAATCCATAAATATCACTTTTATCCTTGCTTCTTTTTAGGCCTTATTCCACGCCCTGGTAATTTGCATACGAAAATATAAAGATTTGATCGTAGTCCAAAAAATATTTATGTTTAGTGAATGGTAATTGGTCTGGTTATTTGGATGCACCTGGAGTTTGTTCTGGAACATGTGGTAATGGAAACAAACTTCAGATTAGGTAACATATGAGAAAAAAATGAGATGTTAATATTTACAAATAGTTTTTTGAATTATTCTAAGAGTTTGTAATAATCCACCACCTTCGTACGGAGGATTACCCTGTGTTGGTAATGCAACACAACTCGTTCCATGCAGCACTGGTATAACTTGTCCTCAAAATGGAGGGTGGAACACCTGGTCGTCTCTGAGCCCATGTAGTGTTACCTGTGGTACAGGTATACGCAGTTCATATCGAAGTTGTAACAACCCAGTTCCTGCATTCGGAGGACAAGCTTGCAATGGTTCTGCACTGCAAAACCAATCATGTAACAACGGAGCGTGCCCTGGTAAAAAATTCGGAATATTTTTCTAACAAAATAAACGCATTTTCATGAGATATAAACAATTTCAGTTAGTGGAAATTGGAGTAGCTGGAGTTCGTTGAGCGCTTGTTCAAGTATTTGTCAAGCAGGCATTCAAAGTCGAACAAGAACCTGTGTTGGCGCAACAGCTGGTGGTGCTAGTTGTCCTGATCTGGGTGTACAATGTTAGATTAACAATAGTTTCACTACGTTCGTCTTTCTGACTATTCTTAATTTTAGATCAAACTTGCCCAGGAAATGATACATCTTATCAGTGCAATGGTAAATATTTCTCTTATTGTACAATCAATGCAATAAATAGTTGTTGTTTTCAATAGCGATAGGTTATTGGAGTAATTGGACGAATTCATCATCTTGCAGTGTAACATGTGGTAACGGTTACATCTATCAACAGCGACAATGTTTAGGTGCAGGTTTTGGCTGCGTGGGAGAGGCTATAATGAGCCAGAATTGTATTCAACCTGCTTGTCCGAGTAAGCATAATTTAGTTGATAAATCTTACTGATCCTACTGAATGTACATTTTTCTATCGTTAAAAAGTTGACGGAACGTGGGGAAGTTGGACTTCATGGAGTTTGTGTCAAGCAACATGTGGAACAGGCACAGTTTACCGTACAAGAAACTGTTCACAACCTCAAAATGGTGGTATTGCATGTGTGGGAAGTTATACTGATTCACAACAATGTAACGCGTCACAAAGTTGTACACGTGAGTTTTAAACAACCTAACGAGGATTAAACGAGAAACTATCCATGTATTCTGTAAATTTTAGCAGAAACTGATTCTAAGTGAGTTAGTTTCCGCTAAATTTAAGCGAACAAGGCTAGAGTAGTGATACATTATAACAGCAGAACCCCATCTGATACAGTCGTGCAATAAACTAATAGTTTATACAATATATTATTACTTTTATTTAGAATTTCCGTATACATCAAGTATGTTTAGTAACACAAGAAAGAAACTTCATGGGACAGAAATTTTTTTATGTATCTAGTCAACGGAAATTGGACTGGATGGTCAAGCTGGGGTAGTTGTAGTAGCACGTGCGGTCTTGGTCAACAAACGAGAACGCGCACCTGTACCCAACCTCTCCCCATGTATGGTGGTATTCCTTGTACTGGTATATCAATTGATGTTCAAACATGTAATTCAACAACACCTTGTCCAGGTAATACAAACATTTCTTGCTTCAAAACGCGCAATTAGCATTCATTTTGTTCTTCAAAAAGTTGATGGTGTATGGACAACGTGGTCGAATTGGGCCACATGTTCGGAAACATGTGACAATGGAACTATGACACGTCAAGTAATTTTATATCAAACTTTATCTAATTCTTTCTCAACGTGTACAAGTTTCACCGTTATAATGTCGGTTTTTCCTTTTTGGCAGCGTTCATGTTCGCAGCCATCGCCGGCTAATGGAGGACAACCATGCACCGGCTCAGCAATCGATTCAGGAGTGTGCAGTGCTGGGATACCATGTCCAATACCGGGAAACTGGGGCAGTTGGAGTAAGCAAAAAGCGAGCGTTCAAATTTTAACATTCAAAATGTTTTCTATTAAAAGAGATATCTTTTTTCGTTCATACTGCAACAAACTACAGACTATTAATTCGCGCAAAGACATAAAGAATACTTTGAGTGATACTTTAGTTTATTGAAATTTGTGAGATTAAGTAAAACCCAGTACGTTTTGTTTGATTTGCAGGTGCTGCATCAGCCTGCACTGGATCATGTGGAAATGGTACAACAGTGCGAACACGAAATTGTAACTCCCCTTCGCCGGCGTTTGGTGGTCTCATGTGTCAAGGGCAAGCACTTAATGTGACAGTGTGTAGTCTTAGTATTGGATGCCCTGGTATGTGAATAAAGGAATCGATGGCAACAGTATTAAATACTAAAACAAATGTTTCATACGAATTTTAGTCTCAGGAGATTGGGCTCCTTGGTCTAATTGGACCACTTGTAGTGTTACGTGTGGAGTTGGAACATATTCAAGGGTAATATTTCATCATGAAAAGCTTTATTCTTCATTTAGATTGTATTAATACTCCATAGGTAAGAAATTGTAGCAATCCTGCACCACAAAATGGAGGTGACTTGTGCATAGGACCACCATTAGAAACTGGTTATTGTACAGCGCCATCAATCCAGTGTCCAAGTATGTTGCTGTTTTTCGTCGCGTTCTTTTACCTTGATTAAGTGTATTGCCATTTGCGATGAAGTTCAAAAAATATAGCTTGATAGTTTCTCACTTCACAATAATCCATATACCGAAGATTCTATAATGTATTTTTAGTCGATGGTGGATGGGCACAATGGTCCAACTGGTCAACTTGTTCATTAACTTGCGCTGTAGGATATTCTACACGAAACAGGTAAATCACAACGTCAGGCGAAAACATTTTGAATAACATTAAATTTTGTAGAACGTGCACAAACCCATCACCTCAATTTAATGGCAGACCATGTCCAGTACGTGTAATTTATTTCTAAACAAAGAAAACTCTAACTTGTTCTGTGTATCTGTTTAGGGAACAAGTTATGCTTATGCAACGTGTAATGACAATGTGCCCTGCATTGTCGGTAAGTGAAGCGTTTCTAGATAACAAATTTGATATTCAAGATATTTTCAATTTTCAATATCTAGTATATTCTGGAACTCCACGTAAGTTAAGTGTCAAAACATTTGAGGAATGACAATTTATAAAAATATTAAAACTTTCTTTAAAGAAAATGGAGTCTGGACTACATGGACTGCTTATTCTGCATGTTCCGGGTAAAGTTTGCACATCCTCATTAGAACATTTTATGACTTAAAATGTATCTCTTATTCCAGAACATGCGACGTAGGCATTCAAAACAGGTAAAAATAAATCCAAGAAAATATGTTCTGAGTACACCTAGTATTTTCATATATGCTGAACAGATACAGAAGCTGTGTGAATCAAAGTAATGGAGGATATCCCTGTGCTGGCGATACATTACAAACTCAGACCTGTTTGACAAATATAACGTGTCCACGTAAGCAAGACTTTCTGCGATAACAGCACGACTTCATTAACAAAAAACTTTTTTTGTTAGAGGATGGCGGTTGGTCTGCTTGGAGTACATTTTCACCTTGTTCAAGTTCCTGTGGTAACGGAACTAAAATTGCTGTTCGCTCTTGTGACAATCCTTCCCCAACAGATGGTGGTGCGTTGTGCGTTGGACCAAGCACAATGTCGCAAACGTGTAGTGCCACGTATCCGTGTCCAAGTAAACTACATACTGCGTGTATTTGAAGATTAGTACTATTTGCCGTATAATGCGTTCTAGTAAATGGAGGTTGGTCAAATTGGACCATATCAGCTTGTTCAGCCACATGCGGTGTCGGATATCAGATACGTCAACGGTAAATTTCTTATCTTTCCTTTCCCAAAATCTTTCATGTTTTAATAAAGAAGAGATCATATATATTCTAGAAATTGTACAAATCCCACTCAGCAATATGGAGGTATGTCCATAGAAATTAGTTAGCTTTTTCCTTTTCCGAGACGAAGACATATGGTTTATTAATTTGATATAGGTTCATATTGTATTGGTAATTCTATCGAGTCCCTGTTTTGTAATCTTTCGAACAGTTGTCCAGGTAGTATCTACAAACAGGAGAATTTGTGTTGCATTAATAACTATGAAATTCTACGTTATTTTTAAAGTATCTAGTACTTGGGGAAATTGGAATTCGTGGTCTTCTTGCACTGTGACTTGTGGATTTGGCATCCAGCTGAGGAACCGCACTTGTTCACCAGGTGCAACAAACTGTGTAGGTGAATCTATTGGAGTCCAGATATGTAACAGTAATTTAACTTGCCCGTGTAAGTTATTAAGTTTCAACAATTACTTTTCTTACTTCTCAAATAATTTTCTTTACTATAGCTGTTGCACCATGGATTTCGGGTATGTTTACTTCTTCAAACTTTGATATCTTTGTATTATCCATTAATGTTGTTACAACAGTGAATGGAACATGGAGTACTTGGTCAAATTGGACTCAGTGCTCTTCAACATGCGGAAATGGAAGCAGTTATCGAATAAGGTAAATAATTTGAGGAAAATGAAGTCACTTTATGTATTTGATTAAAACATCATTTTCTTCGTAAGGGGAAAACAATAACTATACTATAGACGAGAAGACGACTGACATTAAAAATATTTTTAAAATTCATTAGTGTTAATTAATTATAATTACTACTTATTGATTAAGCATGATTTCTTCATTTGTAGTAACTACGACAATACACTCAACATTTCGTAATCTCTATAACCATTTAAACATAAATATTAATAATCAGAAATTTGTAGAAAAAAATAGAGCAGAAAATTCTACATAAGATGTCATAATTTTTAATTAATTTGCTTCGTTGAAACTAAATTATTTGTGTTAGTTTTAGTTATTTGGTTTGCATTGTCCTAAATGAAAAGATTATGAACAATCAAGAAAGATTCACTCGAAATTGATTAAAACTAATTAATGCCAGTATTTCTCTAATACCTTTTGCATACCCGAAACAGTATGCTCGAACACCGAACAGGGCATTTTCTAAAGCTTGTGTAGTTCGAAATTTCTTCTTAAGTCGAAAGTGTATCGGGAAATACTATTTTCGATTTTAAAAAATACTTTTTTGGATATCCGAATTATTTCTTCCAAAAGTCTTCGGTTTTAGAAAGTTTAAAAACTCTTTAGGATTTTACACAGCTAATAGCTGTTGTATAATTGATCCAGATTTTAAATTTACTTAATCAGATCTCTAATTAGAGATCTGCCTAGGCAAATTTAAAATCGAGATGGTGCGTATGTTCATTTAAAATCCGCCTAGGAAAATATCTAATTTAAAACTTCCTAGGCGAATTTCAAAATAACCTGGAAAAATTTAAAATTCGGTATAAAACATGGATTATGTCATGTTTTCACATGAATGAAACAATTAAATGTTGACAATACAAACATCTTCGGTATTAGTGAATGATCTGTAAGAAAGTAGTGTACAGGATGTTGCATAACCTTTTTCCAGGGGGGTAACGACGTGATTTTAAAGTAGGTACCTAATGAATTTTATACCAAATGAAAGCCCGTAAAAAACTGGATCTAGGACTATAGCTAGCAATTCAATAGATGCGGATAGTCAATCAAAGTTATAAATGTACAAGATTGTGGTTACTTTCTTGCGAAGAAAATAAAGTATCAAGTAAATGTGGTTCAGTTACAAATGATATATCAAGCGAACCTTTTATTTGATTTGAATAGAAATGATACATCAATATCTAGTGTGACCGCCGTTGGCTTCACGTACAGCTTTTAATCGCTGAGGATACGATTTTAATAGACTTTCGAAAAGTTCTTTTTCATTTTCAAGTTCATGAAGAATATTTTGAAGATGTTCAACCAAAACGATTGAAGAATTTGTCGGACAGCGTTCGCTGATCATCAGACTTTCTGCTTTGTCCATTAGAATTGATCCAACATTTTCCGCCACATTCAGGTCTGGAGAACTGCCTGGCCATTCTGTTCGGTCAAAGAAATCGATTCCAGAGTTTTTGAGCAACTGCTGAGCGGCATTTGCTTTGTGACACGGAGCGTTGTCATGAAGATAAACGACTTCTGCTGGATCTAATACATTTTCGGAGTTCGAAAGGAATGGAATTACTTCTTCTGTCAAAATGCGGTGTCGATAATAAGTTCCATCCCATGATGCACCATTATCTTTGATAATCCACATTAATTAAGAAAAAAAATAGTGCATACTTATAAAATTCGAATTGTCTAAAATTTGAATTGACTATCTGCATCTATTGAATTGCTAGCTATAGTCCTAGATCCAGTTTTTTACGGGCTTTCATTTGGTATAAAATTCATTAGGTACCTACTTTAAAATCACGTCGTTACCCCCCTGGAAAAAGATTATGCAACACCCTGTACTATAATTTGACAGAATACGAGCGTACAGAGATAAACATGGATGGATTCGGAACCAGAAAAAGTTATAAGCAAAAGTAGAAACTTAGATCTCATGCAGACGTATCTCAGAACTAAACGTATCACTTTATGTCTACCGAACTAAGGTGTCGAACTAAGCGTTAAAGTTGTATCGAAAAAACGGAAAATTTCATGTCTCCTGGGTTTATTCTATTATGATGAAGACAAAAAGTCTTACAACCGATCTGTGTCTGTTTAGACATAGGAAGACTGCTTCAAAACTTGAGCTCATGAGACGTTTGATCTGACATATTCCTCGTCGAATTTTTGATGCGCTGTAGAGCTCATCAAGTTCCATATAATCTCAAGCTTCTTTGATTGGGTGGTTATTCGTTCTCGAATCATAAACTGAAGGATGCTTTTAGTTTCCATTTTGTTGGAGGAAAGAAAACCTTTTTTAAATATCAGAATTTGTAGAAAAACTAAGCATTACAGAGTAAAGATACTGAAACAAATAATGTTCGATGTGGTTTTGACAGTGGTTAGACTATATTTGTGTTTTTAACTTCAGTTTTTTCAAAATTTTTACCTTCGAAGTTTTTAAATTCTTTTTGTTTTTTTTTTCTTTTGTTTTCTGATAGGCAGTATATATAGAATGTTTAAAAGATTGTAGCTATACATTATATTTACTCTGGCTTCTTAATCCTTTACGTCTCTAAATCTGAGAAGAGTTATCTGGAAAGGAGAATTTCTTGAAGTTAAGTTTAAAAAAAAATTGGACTGATGTTTATAAAATGGTATCTCTGAGGAAAATAGTGTTGACTGTCTACTTACAGGCTAAAAGATTTTTGTTTGTTCTCTGGTTTTTGAATTGATCTTTTTTGTCTCTTTCTCTTTTTCCTGGTACCATTTAGAACATTTAAAAAGGATTGGTTGAGTTTCATCCTTCTTTAACGTATATAAATAGGAGGGACATGCTGCATTAATTTTTTCATTTTATTTTACTCTCGCTTTAAGCTTCTATATCTAATTGCCTGTGTTTTTTATGCCATTAAAATGGTCTCTACTATTTCTGATACACAAACAACGGTAACTGCCAATGATGCTGAAAAATCTTTCTATAGTTCAATTGATAACTATATTGGTTCGCTACAAGAAAAATTCAGAGAAAAATATGTAATTAAGAAAATAATTCAAAATAACGTTATGAAGGCATTGACACTTGAAAAAGGTAAAAAAAGTTCATCATTTTTAACATCCTTAGTTTACTGGGCAAACAAAAATTTTGAAATAAAAAAGATAGCTGATGTTGATGTGTTGTATTGTTCATCGAATAAGCCAGTGTGTGTCTATGAATCATTATTTACAATTACCAGTGAAGGTCATCGACATGTTTCTCATAGCAGTCGTGATAAAACCTTGGCTGAAATCAACTCACATTGGTCATGTGTTCCTCGAGCCGTTGTCGAAATCTATTTAAAACACCGCACGGCTTGCCAAGTGAGACAATCAGTCAAAAATCCAACTGTTTTAAAGGTCATCATATCTCTTGGGGTGATGACCCGTTTACAAATCAATCTAATTGATCTTCGTATACATCCTGATACCGTCTCAAATGGCCGGAAATATTAATGGATTCTCAGTTGTATCGACCACTTTAGCAACTTTAGTTGGGCATATGCGCTAAAAATAAAATTGGCTACCGAAGTGGCAGAAAATCTCAGTCATTTGTTTTTTACCTTTGGCCCTCCACGTCTATTACGCAGTGATAACGGTTCAGAGTTTGCTGCCATAATTAAAGAATTGAAAACACTGTTTCTAATCATGACATTCATTCAACGGCGACCCAGGTATCCTCAATCTTAGGACTGCATAGAGCGGTCAATGGTGTGTTAACAAATGCATTATGTAAATGGATATTATCTAATAACACGGATCATTGGTCACAAGGTTTGTTGCCAGTTGTTTGCGGTATAAACACACGAATTTCACAAACAACAAAGTGTATTCCATTTGAGGTCATATTCGGGCAGATTGCTCGTTCTAACGAAGATTATTGAAGAGTGATTAGAAATTTAAACATCGAAAAAGAAGAGGATCTACCGACACCTGTAGAAAGTGGAGATGACAATGTAAATATAATCGAAAAAGAAGTTAGTACCGTAATTGAATCATTACCGGATCGATCGGAGAATGAAACTGCTGACGCTGCTCCACCTTCTTTGATCGAGTTATCAATATCTAATATCGACATCGATCTTCCCGTCAATCCGCCCTCTACTGCGCACATGTCAATCAGTTTAGTGGCATTCAGCTCATTGACACACTTGCCTGTTCATCCATCGGTAACAAGAGCACCACTACCACGGCGCAGTCACGTATTCAATTTATCATTCAGTTCATTCATTGTTTCGCTCCTCTGACCTCACAGAGAAACAGCAGGTAACAGTTTCTCCTCCGCATGCACAACATCTTCAGGAATTGGATGATTTAATCAATTTTGAGAATATCGAGCAGCCGTCTAAAACTGTTCCATTTTCTGATGTACCACCAACTAGTACTATCGCATCGTCACCACGTATCAATTTAGTAGCACCATCTCCAGTTTCATCTTTCTCAATCGATCCGATCCCATCGTCAAGACATAATGCTGTACGCGAACGAGCGGAGGGTAATTATTGAAAACCGGCAAACACAAGAAAAGTGCAAAATATGATGGATATATGAACACGTTGGCCGAAAATTTAACGTTGGGGACTTTTTGGATTTGAAGATTGAAACTGTTGACCGAACTTTGATCCAAAAATTCTTCTGTGTCGAATCAATTTAAAGAAAAAAAAGGATCAGACTACAGTTTTCAAATTCGGTACACAATTCGTCAAACTGTCAAACACATATTCAGTAGGATCATTAGTCGGTCTAAAAGCATTTTATCCATCAGAATTAAAATCTACAAATATTGACCAACTGAGTAAAATAACCGTCACTGAAGCCTGCAAATTGTTTGTTCGTAATGTGATGGTCATCTCGACGTGAAGCGTGTAAAAACATGAAGTAGTTAAAAATGAAACATTTGTACATAACACTGAGAGGTTTGCCTCTAACTTCTCTCTCTCTCACTCATGCTTTCTTAAACTTAGCCTCAGCTTTGATCTTGCGCTTCTTTCTGTATGTAGTTTCGGGTGATAAATAAATGACGCAATTATTCTTCCAGTTAGGTTTTACACGACTCTTCTCCCTTATTCGTTAGCATAAAAAAAACATTTTTTTAAAAACTAAAAAAACGATAAAATAAGAAAAAAAATAAAAGGATGAAACAAAAAAATATTTTAGTGGATTACTTCATATCAGTCACCTTTACGTGGTGAAGTAGATAAACACCGGTTGTATAATACCGGAAACTAAGAGCTGACTTAATACACCCTCAACACGTTGTAAGAAAAGTTATCTCGATAACTCTGGTAGATACCGGGAAAAGTAGAAGCCCTTTCTACTATACTCACTTTCGTCATTGATGAAAAGACTAAAAAGCTTTCGTTGTATTTCACCACTTTCAAATAAAAGTTAATCGAAGATACTTATATTATCAACATTTAACTATTGTTTCAGTTATGTGAAAATATAATCCATATTTTATTATCGAATTTTAAATTTTCAGGCTAATTTGAAATCTGCCTAAGCAGTTTTAAATCAGCATATACAAGCATCTCGATTTTAAATTTGCCTAAATTTAAGAAGTCTCTGTAACACATATATATCATCGACATATCTTTACTTGACGATAAGGAAAAGAATATGAAAAGTCACATCATTCTAAATTTTTTTTGAAGAGCATGTAATTCATCTCGAGCATCACAGGGTGGATATTTGTGTAGCGGCGACCCACTGCAAACAAGATCATGTGTTAATGCATTAGCATGCCCAGGCAAGTACAATTATTCAACAGAGAAAAGTCTTTCGAAATATAGTTTTTGTTTTATCTAGTCAATGGAAACTGGTCCCAGTGGTCGGCTTATTCTGGATGTTCGGCTAGTTGTGGATCTGGAATCCAAGCACGTGTAAGAGTCATGTTTAAAATTTTTTAATTACTGTATAAAAGTAATCAAACAAACTAACTTCAATAATTTCAGACTCGAAATTGCAGTTCCCCATCACCATCAGCCGGTGGCAGTATGTGTATTGGAGCTGCTATGAATATTAGTTTTTGTAATGGAACAGCATGTCCAGGTAAGACGTTTTACAGCTTTTTTTTGCTTATTGGAATGCGTCCTTTGAGATGGTTTAAGGTCAAATTTTAAATATTTTTATTCTTAATAAAATATTTTGTCTTTCCAGTTTCTGGAGCTTGGAGTTTATGGAGTCCCTTTGGCGCATGCAGTGGAACTTGCGGTACAGGTATACAAGTTCGGTAATTATTTAGAAATCAAAGTCTTCGTACTTACTCGGTAAATTATCTTTTATTATCTTTGTGTTTTTTAGTTCTCGCAATTGTAGTGCTCAACTAGGATCAGATCAATGCCCTGGCTCACCCATCGACACCCAGCAATGTGATACAACTATAAGCTGTCCAAGTAATTACATCTAACACGCTCTAGAGCTCAATTCTAATTACCGAAATACAATTTAATAGCTGATGGCCAATGGGGAGCTTGGACTGGTTGGACGAACTGTTCTTCAATCGCTTGTGTCGGAAGTAGTATGTATCGATTTCGAACGTGCAATAATCCGGCTCCAATGAATGGGTACTTTTCTACGTTATATAACTATTTACATGACACACCGGGCTTTTGCTTTTGACTGTATAGTGGTCAATTATGTTCGGGTTCCGCTTTGGACACTCAAACGTGCGCTATTTTTTGTCCACCAGCTGGAAATTGGGCAGATTGGGGCGTTTGGAGTACTTGTTCAAGTACCTGTCTTGGTGGTCGACGATATCGCAATCGAACTTGTACGAACCCTGCTCCAGTCAACGGCAGTGCTCCTTGTATTGGATCTTCAATTGACATTGATTATTCCTGCGGAAATACAACATGTGGTAAAAAAGTTAATTTTTCTAATCGAAGTGTTATTTAATAGTAACACGCTCTTTCTTCATGCTGATTTAGGTGGAGCAAGTATTGCAAGTAAGCATTAACAGTCGTTCAAATCATCACTACCAGCATCAGATTCAAGAACCCAGTGATTATTCACTACTAAAATTACAGGCATAAAAATATTTTCTAAAACTTTAACTAATTTTTCATTTAGATGTTTCCAATTGGTCTAATTGGGGAAGTTGGTCATCATGTGCTGGGACATGTATGTAAACGTACTATATCTATTGTAACTGGTGTCATTTAGTAATCTGTATTTTTCTTCTTAGGTAATTTGGGAATACAAAGAAGAGTAAGGATGTGAGAATTACATGATCTTCAGTAAAAGTCCGACTTCATCATTTTTTAATAGGTTCGAAACTGTACACAATCTAACCTTGGTGTACGTCCTTGTCCTGGTCTAAATTATGACACGCAAGTCTGTAACACAAATATAAATTGTCCGATAGATGGTACCTGGACCTTATGGAGCACTTGGTCCGCATGCAGCGCAAGTTGTGGCTCAGGTGTTAGTAGTCGTGTTAGATCATGTATAAATCAAACAAATGGAGGTCAAAGTTGTCCCGATACTGGTGTGCAAATGGTACAATGTCAAACAAACGTTTCATGCCCAAGTATATTGAATTTAGTATTACGACTATACGTTCAATACAGTACTCGGCAAAAGTACTGGTACTCTTTTAATTCAGGAATCATGATAATGACTTCTAACTTTGTGTTGTCTCACTGAATGTTGATCACTCAGCGAATTTAAACTTTGATTGCATGATTTATTAGATTTGTACTTTACGTCCATATTCTTTTGAAAATACTAAAAATGTGCGTGTCTCCTTTTTCTTTCCCTTAAAGAAAAATTGCACCTCTAAACTGATAAAGAAAGATATTTAATTTGAGCTGAAACTGAACGATTCAATTTTCAAAAGAGTATGCGCTCAAAGTATAACAATTGTTTGCAAAAGATGAAAATTTCAAGTATAGTTGCACTTTAATTCCAAGTTTTAGTAATTCTACGGGGAACTGACTTAAACAGGGTGGGTATGGGAATGAGGTTGACACCTTGATAATAAGCGTTGTGTGTTTCAAAAGTGGCCGTCGGTGATACAACCACTGTATTTTAGTGGTCACTAGGAGCCAACGAACGAAATTTATACCATTGATAAAAGAGAGTTAAGGGTTACATCTTGATAAAAAGAAAAATTTTCATCTCTCTTAGGTTATGAGTTATAAGCATTTTTCTGAAAAAAAAGAAATACTTATCTCTACAAAACCAGCCAATCAAAGAGACTTAAACACGCTGAGTGATCAACATTCGGTGAGTTGACACAAAGCTAGAAGTCATTAGCTATCATGGTACCTGAGTTACAGGAGTAGTACCACCTTTGCCGAGTACTGTAATAAATAAAATCACCTTGCATTTTAAGCGATCGGTCAGTGGTCTGACTGGAGTAATTCTTCGCTTTGTTCTGCGACTTGCGGTGCTGGTATTGTAAGTTGAATTTTCTTAGACCTCATCTTAAGAATTATATAGCACTTTGTTGCATTTGAACAGACCGTGCTATATAGAACTTGTACAAAAATTGTTCCATCGTTTGGTGGTGATTACTGCCCTGGCTCTCCAACATTGATATCAACATGCATAAATTCACAACCATGCCCAAGTAAGAAATATCGACACAAGCGGAGGTAGTATCACGACACATTCTATTTTAGTTGACGGTCAATGGGGTTCCTGGTCGCCATGGTCTGCATGCAGTGCAACGTGCGGTAAAACTGCAACAAAATATCAGACTCGACAATGTTTAAATGTGAATTATGGTGGTCTGCAATGCCAAGGAATTGCGCGAAATGATACAACCTGTCCGGAGCTGTCTGATTGTCCTGGTAAGGAATTGCAGAGTTAGAAGTGCCACTATGTATTATATAATACATGTTTTCTAGCCTGTCCATTCAATCAACAACTTGTAACAACTCCAGAAACATGTCCCGCGTTATGCTCAGATTCCTCAGATACCACATGGTGTCAAGATATTTCTTCTCTTCAATGTCTTTGTACAGATAATTTTGCATGGGATGGTGAAGATTGTGTATTATGGTGTGATTGCGGATGTTACGGTACAGACGGAACAAAGTATTCGGTTAGTTCTTGACGATTAAACTGTTTGAAAGTATACCTCAATACTTCTGCTATAATTATTTTAAGAATAACTCAATTTGGACAGAAAACAGTTGTCAAACTTATCAATGTCAACAACAAATGGATGGAACATTTCAGAGTGTTTTGATCAATAATACATGTCAAAGTAGATGAATCAAAAACATATTACTTCTACAGTCAAAAATACAGTGTGTCTGTACTTTCTTTTAGCCTGCTCTTGGATACAATGGAACCCATGGTCATCTTGTAATTCGTCATCGAGATGTGGACAAGGAACACAAAGTCGAACACGTTCATGTCTTTCAAGAAATAATACAGCTTGTCGAACATGCTCTGGAAATAGTACACAATCTCAAATATGCCAGCAAGTGAATTGTGAAGGTAAGTATATTTGCGTTTAATCCGTACATGGATATGAATAATCCATGTATTCTGCTTAGTCTGTAAATATGGACCATTTATTCCAATTGGTTCCTGTTCACAAACATGCGGAAGTGGTACTCAGTTATGGAATAGAACATGTTACAACGTTGCATATTCTAACTCAAGCATACCAGTACCGTGTTCTAATGCAACTGGATGTGCAAATCAAGGAAATTCACTCAATACAACAGTTTGTGCAACTAATGTATGCTTAAGTAAGTGTATCATAGCTCTTACAAGGGCGAGTTACGTAGAGTATTATAGTAATGGATTGCTCTTCTATATTTTAGACTGTACGTGGTCTACGTGGGCTCAAGGCCCTTGTTCTGTCACTTGTACGTTATTACGTCTAACTACGGGCTTAGAAGAAACATGCTTGATCCGTTTCTCTTTTAGGCGGTGCTGGAACTTATCTTCGAACACAATATTGTAATGATCAATTTAATAATCCTTGCACCAATTGTACTACAAATGCAAATACAAATCCACAAACTCGATCGTGTTCTCTTCCAAGTTGTTCTCTAGCAGGCAAGTTGACATGAAAGTAACTTTTGTATTCGACCTTATTAAAATCTCATTTGTTTTAGGTCGGCGAAAGCGAGACTCATGGCTCTCCTGGTTCGGTTTTTAGCTACAAATTTGTGATGATTGTTTAAATGTCATATTTTACTATAATTTTCCTTAAAATGCGAAGCTGTCTGTAAAAAAACATTTTAAAATGCATTATGTTTCGCATTATTTTTCGCATTATGCATTATTTTTCGTTCTGCATTGTTTTTAATTATTGCTTTCCGTTTATTTTTCTGTAGTTTGATAAAAATAAAATATGTAATTGAAACAAACATAGCAGTTCATATATGCTGTGACTTTTTCCAAAAAAATATCATCCAGAAACCAAAACGTTAAGGAAATTCAATTATCAATTCTTCATTATAACAGTGTCTCACATCAGAATCACAATACTATTCTAAAGACAGAACATATCGTACTTTCTCGTGCTATTCTTGTGTGTGATGGAAATCATCGATCTAATCAATGTGATCAGATCGATGAATTTCATCCATCAGCATAGGAATCAGTATTTGACTTTTAGTTGAATGATGATTGAAACAAAACACTTGTAATGATGGTAAAAGACTGTTTTTAGGAATCGAAATGCTATCTTCTCTGCAAAGACGATATTCTTCCTTCGTAAAATATACGTTTTCCAAACGTGCGACTAAATAAAGCTAACTTCCCAATAAAACTAAAAACTGTAGAAATTCTCACGTTATGCGATGATGGATCATGTTTCATCTATGCCGAATATTCGAACAAGGCATGTTTAGCATAATTTTCATGTAATCATTGCTCATCAGATTCCAGCATGTTATATTTATGTTGAACATACGGCAATACAAATATTGTTCATACATAATTAGCACAAATTCTCACATATTTTATTATGCTTTTTTATAAAACTGTAAGTGATTGTTATTCATGGCATTTATAATGACACACCGTTGTAAGCTTTGTTTGAAAACAGAGAATGGACGATTAGATTACTAACCACTGTAGCGTAAATATTAATACAAACGATGTTCAATATTTCGTTTCTTTTTCAATGGAGGAATTTGCGAGCTGCACATTCCCAAAACGGAAAATTTTCGTTTCACATCAGCAAAAACAATTCTTTTCGATATATTTTTAGTAATTCGCACCACTCCCACCTCTCCCCAGGAAATTCACTGGATCCACCAATAAATTAGTTTCGTGCTTCTTTGTACCCGTGACAAAGTTATTTTATCACGAAAAAAACATATTATTATATTTCAGACATCAGACAGCGGACTCGTAGAAACAATTATATTTGGAGATATCATTTAATTTCGATGATCCTTAGTTCCTCTAGCTCGTCTCGCTATGTATACTGTACCACAGCCTGCTCGTTTCAAATAAATTTTCATACTCTAAGTGTATGATCATTTCTTTTGCTCGAAAGTTACTAATATTTTACTAGTAAACTGAAATCCTTCTATCTTATGAGTTAAAGAGGTTTACATTTATTAGGGGATCATGCATTAAAAAAATCACCACACAGAAATTGACGTCGGTAGATATATTGATTACTGAATTGTACAGTTTTCTGGAAAACTATACGTTTTTTTAACTCACCGTTATTGTTAAGTTGCTTTGATATACAGCGTTTCACATTAAACACCAAATCCAAAAAGTCTTAGTTGGTTTCCTTTTGACGAACTCACAAGCTAATATAGTACATTTTAGCCAGGAACTTTTATCAGAACGATAGTAACAAAATCGTTGAATATTTCCATATGTTCATTCAATTTTTATTTCTCTCGTTACAAATCGCTTGAATAGACAGAAAGTAAGAAAATAATAAAGGTAAACATAAGCACCGTTTAGATAACGAAATGCTAAGTAAAATATCGCAGTTGTTGGATTTTGTAGAGGGAGAGTTTGTATTCTGATACTAAAACAGGCCTATGTCTTGCCCATACCTTACCTTCACCAAATTTGTCAATGCTTTCAATATCTTCGCTACAATTTACCACATGCTCAACATGCCGTTAAAAATGGTATCATTATCCAATCGAATCACTTCCATTTGCTCTACTCTCACATAGGCATGCACCAGTTTTTAACTGGTGTTGGGGTATCCAGGTGAATTGCTACAAATCAGTTATCATGGTTCTCTCAGAGCTGTAAAACATCTAATTTTGTAGAAAAATGTTTGCTCTACAAAATGCGTTTGTTAAAAGAATTTCAGAATCATTTCTAAGAAAACTCGGAGTATTCAAAAATACATTAAATCACGGAAAAAAACTGTTCGAACAAGTTTTATTTCCGTGATTCAATGTATTTTTGAATACTCCGAGTTTTCTTAGAAATGATTCTGAAATTCTTTTAACAAACGCATTTTGTAGAGCAAACATTTTTCTACAAAATTAGATGTTTTACAGCTCTGAGAGAACCGTGATAACTGATTTGTAGCAATTCTCCCGGATGCCCCAACACCAGTTAAAAATTGGTGCATGCCTACTCTCACACCACATCACAATCTATATTATTTATTGTTTTATTGTGTATAGTCATTCGTCAGCATCATTCGATTAATATATTAAACAAATTTTGCTTATTGTGATCATAAGCGTCTTGAATTTCTGTCTCCACTATCACATAGTTATTCGAAGTGTGTGTGCTTACATCCAACATTTCATGATATTCATATTTATTGATGCACTACTTGTTCAAAATCACTGCATCTTACTAAGAAAAGAGAAAGAAAAACTCTAATTTATTTATTGTCATCTGGTTTCGTTCTATGGTTTTTAACTGATTATTTGTTCATTTTTCCTCTATTTTCTGTCTTATTTCACCTCCCATTGAAATTCTTTATCAATTTAGACTTTCCAAGTGGAACTGAGTAAGCAAGAAAATCTAGCTGCAGCGTCCACTTGTAGCTAGATTAAAAGGTACATTTATCTGGCTGCATGGTGATTGAAATTGTGTTCTAGCTGCAGCGGCCGATTCATGGGACATTCCATTGTCTGATTAATCAACAGGATCTGGCTGCCAATTTAAACTAGATAAAATTTTCATATATTTCACTGAATCAAGCTGGATAAATAACCCTTTAATCTGGATGCATGCGCCCGATTTACGATTATTTTTTTCGTGTTTGGGTTGTCCACGGCAGCTGTTGAAATATGCATTGTCTTACTTTCTTTTAGTCGTGAATGTTTTTTTCCTTTTTATTCTTAACTGAAAATACAATTAACCACAAAATTCAAGATCGTTCGTTGTGTGTATTATGTTGGAATGTTGTTAAAAGGGTAAATATTGAATCTGTAGATGAAGAATGAATCATTTATTTCCTAAACAAGATTTTTTGTAACTTTCATAACAATAACAGTACAACCATAAATTATCAATAATTTAAACAAGTGAATGACGATGAAATGTCTATCGTCTACTGCATCGGTACGCGAATGGGAGCAACGTTTGATAAGCTTCATATGAGACACTAATAAATTTATATCGACCATAGTCGCATCTCACTAATATATTTTCTTTCTAATTTTAGTTTCATAAAGTGTGCTTTTTTCTTCTTATTTCCACCGTATCTATCGCACTATTACTGTTGACCTACTTTCAAAGTTTGTCTCATCTAACAAGTATTGCTGTTCCAGTATCTGAGACATTTATTAGTAATTTAAAGAATAATACCGAAAAACAACAACCGAACAATGTCTCAAAACATTTTGCTGTATTTGCGTGTTCAATTCATTCAACAACCGCTGCCTACTATTTTTATGCTCCCGTCACTGCTGCCGCGTGGATGCGAGTTGGTTATGAGGCGATTGTTGTGTTTGTCGGTGATTTTCAAGCACAACAAAAGTCAAGTTCTACGAATGAACAAAATTTAGTTCAACGTATCAATTTAACTCGTACCTACTTGTCAAAAATCGGTGCACACATTGTCGATTTTCAGTGTAATGAGTCATATGCAGTGAAAATGAGTCAGATAGTCAGAGTTTTTGCTGGCTTTTTACCCACAGGAATTGTGACAGATCAGGACTACATTATCACAGCCGATAGTGATTTGTTACCCCTGAAACCCTCGGAATATCAGCTTACGAATGGCGCAGGCGGATTTATTTTCAATGCTTTTTGTTGTGGCGAGTTCAGTCGACGATCGAAGTCGTATCGAATGTTTCCCATGGGACATATTTATCTGAGAAAAGACGTTTGGAGAGATCTCATCGACAATTCTACTCAGCGCTCAGAATTATCACTCATAGAACAGAATCGAACCTTTTACTTGTCGTCAACAAACAGTAGTCTTCACTCGTATGAGAAACAACTATTATCAGAACATTCGAATTTAACGTTACTTTTAGACAATTTCGCGTTTAACTTTGATTCCATAACGTTGTATATGCGACACGAGTTTCGTTCCGTGTATGATCAACAAATGGGTAAAGGTGATTCAGCGTGGTACATGGATCAGATAATGGTTAGTATGTTGTTAGTAGATTACAGAGCAAAACATCCCCAACTTAAAATTAGCGAACGCGGACGGATTGATCGATTAGATCGTGTTTCGGGAATGAATTACTGGGATCGTGATACGTTTGATCAATTCGGTGATGCACATTTAAAACACGATGAAATCCTACAGCCTGGCAACTGGAAAATTTTTAATAAAGTTTTAAAGTATCTATTTAATTCTACGATGGTTGATGTTATGAATGATTACTACCGACAATATATGATCATAGCTAAAGCAAGAAGATAACATTCTTCTTAAGATTTGAATAAGAGAGAGAGCCCATAGAAAGTTCATTACATCAGAAAAAATCTACTGTCAATCGAAAATTTCATTTGTTGATTAAAAAAGAAATTAAAACAATGGCATAAAGTACACTCAAAAACGCGTCGAGCAGATATCTCAGTTATTTTCATTGTTGTTTTAACACGATAATTCGTAACGTTCATGATATTTTCCAGTGATGGTTAGAAAGCTTTTTTCCTGGTTACGCTTAAAAGCTTTTTTGCCTGATCGAGTCTGAAGCTATTTTTGTTAAGATGAACTCAACCTCAGGAATTTGATTTTTTCTTCAAAACTGAGGTAACTGTACGGTTCAGAATCACAAAGTGTCCATTTCAGTCTGTCAAAAATTCAACGTTTCTGGAGGTTTTTGAAAAAGATTTCTGGAAGCCCTAAAAACTACTCTTTTCTAAATTTCAAATTTTTATTAAAATTTTTCAGATTGATCGTTTTAAGAAACATAGGACTATGTTGAGCAGAGTGTTCTGATCAAAATGAGATGTCCCGCAGGTTTGCCGACTTCGCCTCGCACAGTTATGCTACCTTTGATAAAGGCACTGAATTATAATTAATCAAGTGATACCTTCATTGCTTAAAGTATGGTTTTGACGCACCAAAATTGCTACTCCTCCTAGACCGTTCATCGTACAACTCTCATTTTGTTTTAATTTTGAAGTTAAGACATCTAAATTTTGTCCGTAACGGTTTTTGAATTTGATTTTCTATGCAGAGAAAAATGGAAAATATCCTCCGAGCTAGGGTTATTTTCCCTAGCTTATAAGTTTCAACTTAAAGTACCTGTAGGGAATGACAGGAAACGAAATTCAAAATCACTATCGACAAACTGTAGACTTAAGTGTTTGCTTTCATTTGAGACCACCCGCAGCTTTCTGCACCTTCCAACAAAAAAGCATTAGCGTTTTTGCTAAGAGCCTCATTTTGCCTCTTGTATCGCAATAACTCAGCAGCGCTTTAACGTTGTCATCTCGAATTTTCTAGTTGGACAGCAAGCACTAGTTACTGTCAGCGCCATCGAAATCGGATGTAAGATAAAAAAGAGAACATCATAAAGTTGGGTTGACCGAAAAAGATAGATATAGCCTCACACGTCCGACGAGCGACATCTTTGAAGAAAGTTTCTATGTACAGCGGTATAATCGACAATTCAATTGAAATGCACTAAACAAAAATCTATCATTCAGAGTTTGTTCTTTCACTTTATTCGTAAAGTTATGATAGACGATCAATTTTAGAAATTTCATTTGCTAACAATTTTTAAACTTTTACCAACCGCAAAAAGTCTTTGTGTAGCTTTTTACGTCGACTACACGATGATGTTTGGTTCTTTTCGATTCGAATGCACTGAGCGCAGAAGCGATACGCAAAACGCTGATGTCAATATGAGAGTACATTGTGCGTAATGCTGGGCGTTGTATGTGAACCGTGTTTCCTAATAGGTGTATCTGTAACTTATGCATTATATTAGCGTGATCACGACGCAGTGATGCACATTTTCCTGCACGTTGCTATTAAAACCGTTTCATAGTTCTCATGGTCTTTCGTCAATGTAATCGTTTCACGCTGTCGAATTGATTTCTGTGCTCTTCTCCAAACGATCGACTGTCTTTTCACTCATCTTCACAATTTTTTCTGTTTGGGGGTGAGATCTTTGGAAGAATGAGGAAAAGTTTAAAAGACTAGGTAGAATGAATAAATATTATTCGGAATGCGGCAGAAAAGCTTTTGTGCATTCCGCGGTTTTTTTAAGCGCTTTCTACTACCGCTTGAATAATATCATCGTCTTTTTATTGGAAATAAGATTTGCTACCCTGTTCCATTATCAGGAGAAAATACTGATCGCTCTTCTCTGATCGAGGGGCCGAGCAGTTTTATTATTGATTATTCTATTTACCATGTTATGTGATTGAATAAAATAGGAATGACTTTTGGGAATTGTGTTAGAAATTTGTAAAACTTTCTCATGACGTTAGTGAACGCTTGATAAGTTTAGATGGAAAGAACAATTGTTTCAGATGACAAAGGTTCGATATTTACTCATAAATTAACAAAGTTTAGTGATGATTGACTGATGAAGAGTCGCACAAATGAAAGCATGATAAAAAGTGATGCAAACACGATCTAACAGATGTATCCCCTGGAAAAAATAATTGCGGTAGATTTTTTAAATATATCACCACTATAAAAATACATTTCTAAAAAAATAATTATATATTCTGAAAGCGCTCGGAGTTCTCTATCGCCCTGTACACTTATGTCTTGTCTTGCATTTATTTGCTGGAAAATGAATTGAGTGTAAGGACGTCATCGTCAGATTCCCAGAAATTGTAATGGGTTCGGCCTCAGTTTTTTCTATTTTTCTCGTGTTTCTTTAGAATCCAAAGGTTAATATTTTTTTAAAAAGATGCGCCGCGAAATGCTCTACAAAACCATACCTAAACCTTAATTTTAGAGCTTCAATCAAGAAACCTATGCAGCTTATACGAAAGACGAAAAAAATGAAAACTTTGAGAATTGTTATTTCAGCAGCTTTTTAGTACTCGTCTGTGTATGGATGATAGAAAATTTCAAGCGCTATCAGAATATATAATTACTTTTATAAAAAGTGATGATAAATTTAAAAAACAAATTGAAGAAATACTAACAAACTGTAGTCCGTGGGAATCTGACGATGAGGATGCCGTCATTGCACTCAATTTATTTTTCAGCAAATAAATGCAAGACAAGATATAAATGTACAGGGTGATAGAGAACTCCGAGCGCTTTCAGAATATATAATTATTTTTTTGAAAATGTATTTTTATAGTGGTGATATATTAAAAAAATCTACTGCAACTATAATTTTCCAGGGGGATAGAAAGACTATTATCTAAATAAACGACTCGAAAAGTCACTAGTCAGTAGTACGATAACCACCAACAGCTTCTCTCTATCATCCGTATTATTAGTCAATTTAATCACATTAAAACTTATTAATACCCAAGCGTCATTGGCAATCAGGCTGAGTTCGTAATGGTCCTCTTTTCCTCTTCAGGGAATTTTTAGCAAAAACACCAGAATTCAGACTATTTTTGAATGTGAAAGTAGTTTCAGATATATTTTTTTTATTAATGCCGTCATATGAAACAAAAAATTCAATCACTTGTGGTTGCAGAAAACAGTAGATGAAGTCCCTATGAGACGATGGTTAAAGCAAGGTGCTATGGAATTAACATTCGTATGTACATTGTGTAAAACGGGCGAATTAGATTGGAAGAGAACACAGGATGGCAGTCGATAGTACAGCATATGAAGAAAGATAAACACCGTGAAAAAATCGGAGAGTTGAAAGAAAATATCACATTCATTTCAACTTTATCACATCTACATTCATCTTTTAAACTAGAATAACTCCTTTTTGCTGTGTTTTTCTCAGTTGATAAATATTCTAATTGATAATTATTCTATCCTGTCATTTTACATTGATTCAGCTATTATTTTGATAAAATTTGGGCTTTTTGTGAAATAAGAATATGAGACAACTGTTTCAACGCGTATTTTCTCGATTTTGATCCGAAATATATTTGTTATAGTGATTCTCAGACTAAATATTGAGTTCTTTCGAAAAATATTGAAATCAGAGAAGATTCTTTGATCAGAAAACTGCAATGACCAAATCAATCGCTTAAATTACACTTCTAATTTTAGATAAATTAGTTAAATATTGTATTTTGTCGTTCAAACAATCATGAGTTATTTTTTAAAATATGTTGAAATTGAAAATTTCAAATCTTATAAAGGCCGAATTGTTATTGGTCCATTACGAAAATTTACGGCTGTAATTGGACCCAATGGCTCTGGTAATACCATTCTATCTGAGAAATAAACATAAAAGGTATGAACATTTTTTGTTTCAGGTAAATCGAATTTGATGGATGCAATCAGTTTTGTTTTGGGTGAACCAACAAAAAGTCTCCGTGTTCGAAAATTGTCGGTATGTTTCACAATGTTCTAAATCTTATGCATAGAGTTCATAGAGTAGTAGATAAACCGAACACTTCGGACCTCTAAAGAGGTCTAATCTTATGTTAAGTGCTTTTGCTTACAGTGTAGAAGAAAGATAGTAATTCAGTTAAATTTTAGAAAGCAAAGTATCAAATGGACAAATAAGATTGGCCGCTTTGTCTTGCATAAATGTACTGAACTTGTTTTTTATTTTTTTTCTAGGAACTGATTCATGGTGCTCCGATCGGTAAACCCATTGGTACGAAAGCATCAGTAACACTTGTTTTTGTTCTTATAAAAAAAGCGCGTGATGGAAGCTTGACTGAAATTGAAAAACGATTTCAACGAGTTATTAATGGTAAACATTGTCTTTGAATAAGTTTTAAGCAAAATTTTGAATATTTCATGTTGTTTTCTAGGTAACGCATCTGATTATCGTGTTGATAATCAACAATATTCTCATGGTGAATATCAAGAAGAATTGGAAAATATGGGTATTATACCAAAAGCGAAAAATTTTCTAGTATTTCAAGGACAAGTAGAGTCAATTGCAATGAAAACACCAAAAGAATTTACAGCAATGTTTGAAGAATTGAGCAGGTAAACACTAGTCTTCTATTTTCGAACATGATATTAAAGATGAATACAATTTCTCTTAATGATCTATGATCATAGGAAAAAATGGCACATGAGTTTCTATTTTTCCTTTGTCATTTAGATCTGGTGAGTTGAAAGAAGAATATGAACAATTAAAGACTGAGAAAAATAAAGCTGAACAAGATACCCATGCCAATTTTCAGAAGAAAAAAGGTATTGAAAAACAAAAGAAAGAAGTTCGATTGGAAAAAGAAGAAGCACAAAAATATGAAAATTTGAAAAAACAATTTGTAAGTTACTACATTACATTTCAGTAAATAGCATTTTATTTGAACTACTTACTTACTTTTCTGTTTTGGTAGGATGAT